AAGGGACTCGTAAGGGGCAATAATGAAATATATTTAGAAGCCTGAGATCAGTCTGCTATCAGCGCTAAGGCTGAAAAACTATTCGTTCTCTGCCAATTCTTTGGACATAATATATGGCAAGGGAGCTCTACGAGTCTCCCGGCGGCATGAATGGTTGACGGTTTACCGCCGGCGCCCAGTTTCGCACCTGAAGTAGGTTATGCCGCGTCTGCCAGTGAAATTCTCAGGTCCGTAGCTGCAAAATTACTATCGAAACACTTGAAGCAACCGACTTCTGGTGAAAACTGGAAAAACAATTTCTGAGGTTTCTCAGCCCTCGCGTAAGAAAGCTGCACCGATGTGTGCCCAGCAGTGCCGTGTGAGGAAAGAGCTCTACGAGGCTCCCGGCGGTAACCTGGTTGACGGTTCACCGCCGGATTCGAGTTCGAACGCGCTGGAGAGCTAGTTGGCAAGAAAAAGTCTCGACGGACTTTTTGCTGACTTTTGCTCGGTTGAAAATTTTGTTCTCGAAATTCAATAATTCGTTAGAGCTCTAGTTTTTTTCCCCTGACCATATTCGATCTTATTCCCGTTCGCCATCTTAATCTCAGCTCCATCGGGTACCTATTTCTGCCAAAAAGCATCGCGGCGGGATTGGCCGTTCCGAGTGATCTTGACAGGTGCTGTCGGTTTTCTTAACTTAATTTGAGCTGCAGGAGAGCTACAGAGCTGTTACTCACAGAAACCGATTCAGAATCATCAGGCGCGTTTATCTGAAGCATCTGGAGGTCTGAACTCAGTCTGCTACTCGAGCTAGGTTCGCGAAGCTATTCGTATTATACCGATTTTCTTGACAGATGCTATCGGTTTTCGGTACTCAACTCGAGCTGTGGGAGAGCTACAGGGCTGATGTGCACACGTAATCGATTCAGAATCATCAGGCGCGTTCATCTGAAGCATCTAGAGGTCTGGAATCAGTCGACTCACCGAGCTAGGTCTGCGAAGCGATTCGTATTCACGAAATTTGTTGACAGGTGCTCTCGGTTTTCTGTGCAAAACTCGAACTGTAGGAGAGCTACATAGCTTGTGCGCGCACGTAATCGATTCAGAATCATCATGCGCGTTCGTCTGAAGCATCTAGACGTCTGAACTCGGTCCACTACTCGAGCTAGCTCCGCAAAGTTATTCGTATAGTACGAATTTTCTTGGCAGCTGTTGTCGGTTTTCTGTACTTAACTCGAGCTGTAGAAGAGCTACAGAGCTGATACGCACAAGTACTCGATTTAGAATCATCAGTTGCGTTCGTCTGAAGCATCTAGAGGTCCGAACTCGGTCTGCTATTGTTTACAATTCATTCTGAGAAAGCAGATTTTTACGCGAAGGATTTGCATGTAAGTTGCGTTCTGAGAGCAGCTAAGCTCCCCCGAGGAAGTTCTATTATCGGTTCACTTCCGGGAACCGACCGCATATTGACATACAAATGCAAAAATAAAGATTTTAATGTAATCTTCTGCGAAGTTCTCTGCCTCGAGTCTGAGCACTCTTACGCGTGCAGGGGGCTCTACGGGATTCCCGGCGGTTCCTGGCTCAAGAACGTCTCGGCTCAAGAACGTCTCTGCCTGGGTAACCTCCAGACGTTCTCGCGGGTCACTGCCTCGGGGAGTGAGACTGGGCGAAGGGCCGCGAGGCCTGGGCGATCCTGGGGTCCTCCGAGGGCTTTTGTCTGCATACATTACCTCTCTGTGTATTGTGCGCTGGATTGTTCTTCTCGGCATTGAGGAAGTTTCTTGTGCGCTGTATTGTTGGTTGACGCAACGTCGTGCGACAGCCCTGAGGCCCAGCTGGCCTGGAGGAGAGAGAGCGGCCTTGAACACTGGGGAGAAAGTACTGAGGAGTGGCTTCGCCGTCAAAAGAATCTGGACATACCCGCAGAGGATTATCAGGACGAGAGGGTCAATTTAGATTATCCTGAGGAATACCAACCTTGGGATCAGAAAGATTTGCAGGCACTAGAGGCTGCATCGAACAAACGTCAACGAGTGGATGGCAAGAACTGGTTGGATAGATACGGTTTGGACGGAAGTATTCTTGAACATATGACCCATGTTGCCGCTGCGGCGGATGCCGAGGTGACGAGTGAGAATGAGACTCGATCGGAACGTGCTCGTGGGCAAGAGATTGAGCAGGAGAGAAGTTCGATGTTGGCACAGGAGAAGGATCCCTTCAAACAAATGGTGATGAAACGTGTCTGGAATACGGAGGATGCACATGATGATCTCATCCATGTTGTTCAATCTACGAAGACGGACATCAAAAGAGTTGATGACACACTTAGGTCACATACTGAACGCATGGACAAAACAGATGCACGGACGGATATTTTGGAGAAACAAGTTAAACACATATTGGCTGGATCTCCCGCTGCATCGGTCTCGACAAGTGTTGGCCCAGGAGGGTCCTCTGGTGGTGGCGTCGGTACGGCCCCTCGTTGTCAACAGGATCGACCGAGCCAGTTTACTCCAACTTATCTTGAACTCAAAGGGTGGGTTACTGATTGGTCGAATCAAGTTAATCGGGGAAATCAAATGATACCCTGGGCGGATGCATCACAATTGATATCGAATGTGATAGGAACACTTCCGGGGAAGGAACGGAATGCGTATGAACAAAACAAAACTGAAATATTAAACGGAGGACGGTATATGTATGGAAGTGTGAAGATCGGTTTCAAAGGAGGGGCATCACGGGGCACCCTCTGGAGAACCAAGAAATGGACAGACATGGTCTGCAAAGACCCAGCCGACCGTCTCGCTCCGCCCCCAGGTTATACATATCCAGATGGTGAGGTTCCCATTCAAAACATGGACACGCCTATTAACACCAAAAAGATTCGCACGCTGGCGGAGTGTCCCCCCTGGAAGCGTGATCATGTGAAAGCGGTGGCCCGTTTCTGTGGTACTTGGCGTAGTTTGACATCGGCTCATGTTCAAATCGAGATCCGTAGGGAAATGGAGCCACCGAGGAGCCAGATTTAGACTCAAGCTGCTCCGAATCTCCGTCCTGTTTGTTTTGCGACGTATACGAGCGCTACTGGGGCCTGGGTTTTGCACGCCGACGCTTGGGCTCGTCTTGTATCTATGTATCCCGCTTTGACGGTCCCCATAGATGCGGTACTCCAGGAGGTGAATCGTAGGCAGTGACGTTTACGGCGCCTCATCCGAGGCATGCGTTTGGGGAGCTTGCGCCTGAACAAAGCAGGTGAGGCTCACTTTAAATGTGCTGAGATTCTCCACCATATGCGGGCATGTGGGGGGCTCTTTGCATGTCAGGAAACTCAATACCTTGTGCGTGGTGAATGTGAACGCTTGGGGTGGCGCATCAAAACTAGTTCATGTAGTGAAGCAGCTCTCGTCTTCGACAGATCGTGGGCGGCTGCTGCCCGCATTGTCTTCACATGTTTCAAGAGGTTCGTTATCGGCGTCTTTGGGTCAGAGAAGTCACCACTCATTATTGTTTCATCGTATTTGCCAGATCCTCATGTGGGGGAGTGTGAAGAGATTGCCGCGGAAGTCTATGAGCAGATTGCTCGTGCTCGCGACGGACTCCGCGCCAAGTTTCCTCAGGCCAGCTTTTCTGTTCTGCTTGATGCAAATGCGGGGGTTCCGCCTGGATGCAAGTTTATATATAATGGGGAGGAGTATGAGGCAACTGGGAAGGAAGGCACTCGTATGGAAAGAAAGTGGGGGAGAGGGGGGGATGGTACACAGCAGATTGAGAGGAGGAATCGGATGAGGAGGCTGAAGGAGCTGCTCTTAGAGTTCAGGGAATTGCATGGACTGAAGGCCGCCAACACTTTCAATGCTAGGATGCATACTTGGGAGGCTTGGGGGAGAACAAGTTCCTGACTTCGAAGAGGGTCCTGGATTACCTACTCGTCCCCTGTCGTTGGGAGTTTTCGGAACTGGGGGTGAAATGGTGTTTCAAGAGGGGTGGTAAGAGGCAGGTCAGTAGATTTTCAGATCATGCAATCACCACGGCGAGTTTCACGGGCCCTGGGAAAGTGATCGTTCGTCGCCCTGACCCCCAGCCTGGTCAAAGTTTTAGGCCGTCCTTGGTCGGATGCAAGTGTTCGACTTGGGCTGGCGAGCATCGGGCTCGGCGGCATATGGATATGAATCGAGGTGGTGCGACTTTCGCTCGTTCGGAGTGTCCGCCTGTGCTCAGTTCCGAGTGCCTGCAGAGTACTATGCTTGATGCGTATGCGTCGTTTGCTGTGGACTTTACCACCGCGCGGGCGGGGGGGCCAAAGGGGCAGCCCAGGCCGTTGCAGCTCACTCGGGCCGAGGAGGAGGTTCACATGTGTCCGAGGGAGGAGGTTCAGAGGTTGAGGAAGTTAAAGAACGAGGCCACTCGTCTACGCAGAGGCTATCGACGTGATATGATTACATGCAGATGTCCCCAGACAAAACGAAAGGTCAGGTATACTGTCGAACATTTGGTGGTGGATGGGAGAGAGATGGAGGATCGTGAGGAGTGGAAGGAGGAGATCGACAAGTTTGTTCGTTTTAAGGTGTCGTCGGAGGAGGTACGCAATTCCACTAACACTATGATGGAGGAGATCAGGATGAGGGCTGAACATGAGGTTCGGTCCACATCAGTTGTGGGAGCTAGTCTGGCACTGCTTCTCAGAGCACGGGCTCGACTGAAGACCCAGAGGGCTACTGGGCCAGATGGGATACCGTGCGAGATTCTCAGGAGTTTGCCGTGGTGTGCTCTCAGATCGATCCAGAAGTTGTTCGGTAAAATCATGAAGCTCATCATTCCTTATCCACAGTCGTGGCGTCAGATCCTCATCTCTTTTATGCCCAAGATTCCAGGGGTTACGAAGTTAAAAGACGGTCGTTTGCTTTGTATGCAGAATGCGGTTCCCAGATGGTTCAGTTCCTGTATTGTTCTCCTGGTTGAGGGCCATGTTGAAAGAAACGGTGTTTTTTCGTCATATTGCGTTGTATGGTTTCCAGGAACATCGACGTGCACATGAAATTACGGCTAGCCTCAAACATATATGACAACGCGCTGCTAACTGGGGAAAAGGGGAAACGGCACACCTGGCGAACGCTGATGTCCTCCAGGCGTTCGACCAGTGCAAGGTGGCCAATGTCAGGCGTGGGTTGGATTATGCCGATGTGCTCTTGTGCCTGCAGTATGCTCTACTCAACCCCCTGTGTGAGTGTGTCGGCACTGTCTATTATGATGGGATTGAGGTTTTGGAGGTGGAGTGGGGCAAGTGTATTCGGACGGGGGGGCCTGAGGGCCCAGTGGCTTTCAATCTTATCGTCGCCGCTATGTTGAGTACTACGATTCGGGAATGGGACGTGCTAGGACCAGGTTATCGTATTGAGTTTGCTACTTGTTCGACTAGTTGTGTTTCGGTTACTAATCACTTCCTTTGGGCTGACAACTGCTATGTTCTGGCTCGGAGTCGGGAGGAACTCGCGCGCATGATACGCGGTCTAACTACACATTTACATGAATACGGTATGAGATGGAAGGAGTCCAGTCTATTAAATATGGTGTTTGGTGCTGCTCCTCCGCGTGATGCGGAAAGGGGAAATACTACGGTCAGCGGATCTTGTCCTTTCGATTGGGTCGGAAAGCTCTGGGGTCTACCGATTCAGAAGAGTGACGGAGATGGAGGTACTTGGGGCTCACATTTGTTCTGAACTACATGTGAACGAGCACCCAGATTTGGATGCTAGTATTGACTCGGCTCGGAGGGCCTTCTGGGGTCAGGCTTCTTTCTTCCGCTCCACGGCAATTCCGTTGAAGGATAAGTATGAGAGATGCGCGCAGAGGTCTTCAGAGTATCTTGCTTTATGCCGCAGAAGGCTGTACTGTTGATTCTTATTCTTTGAGTGCCCTGCATATCTTTGAAGGCAAATGTTTGGCTGTCATGTGTCGTTGTGTACAGAAGGAGGAGGAAAGTTATCAGGAGTGGAATACGAGGAGGTATGAACGGGCAAGGCAGAAGTTTCATGATGCACAGTATGCGAGTATTGTACAGAAGATCCTCCGCGTGCACTGGATGCGGGCAATCGACGTGACTGATTTCGCCCATAAGTTGCTCACGAATCAGGAGGCGCTGGGGACAAATTCGACAAGAGCTTGGAGAGATTCTCGTTTCTCATGCCTGGCGTTTGGCCGGCTGTGGGACAGAACGAGAATGGACTCAAGCGAGGCTCTCAGATGTTGGGGGAAATGGAAGGAGGCCAGTTCATTGAAACGACACCGTGGGGGACAGGAGAGTGTGGGCCTTCGTTCGTGGTGTCATTCTTTGGAATCGTTTTGCGGTTTATCTTGGTGGGAGTCCTTTGTTGGGAATTTTGAACATTTCATGGATTTTGCCGCGCATGTTTGTCCTAATAGTATGTTGAAGTATTTCCAGAAGAAATGCAGAGGCTTGGCGTCTTCGGGGGTGCCTGTGTTCTTGAATACTGATGTGGATAGAGGAGTTCATATCGGACAGGATCGGGAGGAGAGACCTGCATATAGGGAACGACTTAGCAGACGTATTGCGTTGCATAACATGCGTTGTACACAATGGGACCTCGAAGCGGGTGGGATACCATTGGACATCCAGGGGGACTCACTGCTAGTGATCAACTGGCTCTGTGGGAAATGGAAAGTACTTTCTCAGGTATATCAAAGAAGAGTAGACATTCTGATGAATAAGCTGGACGGGATGCAGAGGATGTACTCGGTGGGGCCTCCAGAGGCTGGCCGAGATTTCTTCTCTCACTCTTTTCGGGAATGGAACCAAAGGGCTGACTTGCTGACTCATCAGGCCCGCCAGGGCCAAGTGTACGCCGATTTCTTGTACCTTTGTGATTTCGAATCTCAGTGTTTTACTCCTTGCCTTATCAAAGCTGGCTTTGATGGGGGTGTGTGCAGCCGCGGAAGTGCCTGTGGCGTGTGGATGCAGATCGGTCTGCGTAACAAGAACATCTTCTCGCGGACCGACATCACTTTCAAAGATGTGTATCTCGCAGCTTGGTGCTTACCACCAAGTGCCACGGTGACAGATACTGAGTTATCAGCGGCGGAGCGTATATGAGATGTGCCCCCACAGGTTGTGCAGAACTTCTTTGATCATTCGCATTGATAAGTCGCAGTTTTTTTAATCTCACTCATTTTCTTGTATATTCTAACAGCTTCGCTGTATTGTTTGATCTTTGTAGGTTCTTCTGTGTGCTTTGCGATTGATTGTGTCATTGCATGCTTCTGACTCTCTTTATTCCAACAGCTTCGCTGATGTGAAGTAAGAGCTGACTGCTTGCGTGACGAATAAGAGGCTCTGATTCGCCTGAGACTTCGTTGGACATGGCCTCAGTGGTCAAGATGGTCCCAGCAAAGACGCAAAAGACGCAAAAGACCAGGTTGACGGTTCACCGCCGGCGCCAGTCGATGAGCTAGAGGAATTTCAGCGCGGGGTGGAGCTGGTTGGCCGACCCGCCAGAAAGGACAATCTGGTGACTTTGGGTCGGTTTTGCTAAGATTTAAAAGATATTCAACCATTTATACCTCGTCGAGCTCTTCGTTATCGAGAGCTAGAGGAATTCCGGCGCGGGCTGGAGCTAGTTGGTCGACCCGGCCAGATGGGGCAATGTGGCAACTTTGGGCCGGTTTTGCTCGGATTTGAAAGATATTTGGCCATTCATTTTGAGAAAACAGATTTTTACGTCCAGCATTAGTGTTTAAACTTCATTCTGAGAGAGAGCCAGCTCTCTAGAGAGAGTTTTACGATCAAAACATTTAGAGGGGCCGACATCAGGTTGACACCGAAAAATGCAAATTTGACGTTTTTCTAGAAATGCTCCGAGAAGCTGTCTGCTTCGATTCTGAGCACTTTCATGCAAAGAGCTCTACGAGGCTCCCGGCGGTGACCAGGTTGACGGTTCACCGCCCGCGCCAGTTGGCCCGCCCGGCCTGGACGGACAATGTACCTCGTAGAGTTTTTCGTTATCGATGAGCTAGAGGAATTCCGGCGCGGGCTGGAGCTAGTTGGTCGACCCGGCCAGAATGGTCAATGTGACAACTCTGGGTCGGTTTCGCTAAGATTTGAAAGATATTCAACCATTCATTCTCAGAAATCAGATTTCTACGCTGAGCATTCGCATACAAGCTTTGTTCTGAGAGCAGCTCAGCTCTTCCGAGGGAGTTTTACTATCGGTTCACTTCCCGGAACTGACCTCATATTGACATCAAAAAAATGCAAAAATTGAGATTTGAAGAAATCTTGTGCGAGCTCTCTGCTTCCACTCTTACGCGTGCGCGGAGCTCTACGAGGTTACCGGCGGTGACCAGGTTGACGGTTCACCGCCGGCGCCAGTTTTGAGAACGCAGATTTTTACGCTAAGCATTTGCATTTAAGCTTTGTTCTGAGATCAGCTCAGCCCTCCCGAGGGAGTTCTACTATCACTTCCGGGAACCGACCTCATATTGACATCAAAAAATACAAAAATGAAGATTTTTAGAAAATGTTTTCCGAAGTTCTCTTCTTTCATTCTGAGCACTATGCGTGCAAGGAACTCTACGAGGTTCCCGGCGGTGACCAGGTTGACGGTTCACCGCCGGCGCCAGTGACCCACCTGCCCGGGCGGACAATGTGGGAATTTTGGGTCGGTTGGGCGAACATTGTGAAATATTTGAACATTCGTTTTGAGAACCAGTATTTTTTCGCACCCGTAGTACCTCGTAGAGCTCTTCGGCATCGATGAGCTGGAAGAATTCCGGCGCGGGGTGCAGCTAGTTGGCCAACCCGGCCCGGGCGGGTCGGTTTTGCTAAGATTTGGATGATATTTGACAATTCATCTTGAGAAACCAGATTTTTCGCACCTGTGGAAGACTATGAGGGCGTCTGCGTCTTAATATGAGCTCCGCACGCGCACTCTTACTATCGAAACACTTGGAGCAACCAACTTCACGTCGACATGAAGAAGGAAAAATTGATGACTTTACGAAAATATTCTGCGAAGTTCTCTGCTTCGATTCGGACCACTTACACGCGCAAGGAGCTCTACGAGGTTCCCGGCGGTGACCAGGTTGACGGTTCACCGCCGGCGCGAGTGAGTTATGCCGCGCGTGGCTGTGAAATTCTCAGGTCCCTGCAATATTATTGTCAAAACATTTGGCGGAACCGACTTTGGGTGAAAACTGAAAACGTATTTTTATGCAGTTTTTCGCTCACGCGTAAGAAAGCTTCCCCCATCTGTTCCGAGCAGCGCCGTGCGAGAATAGAGCTCTACGAGGCTCCCGGCGGTAACCTGGTTGACGGTTTACCGCCGGCTCCCAGTTAGCTGACCCGGGTCCGACGGGCAATGTGTGAACTTTCGGCCGGTTGGGCGAACGTGGTGAGATATTTGAACATTCGTTTCAAGAACAGGTATGTTTCGCACGTGTAGTACCTCGTAGAGCTCTTCGGCATCGATGGGCTAGAGGAATTCCAGCGCGGGATGCAGCTAGTTCGCTCACCCAGCCCTGGGCGGACAATGCGTGAACTTTCGGTCGGTTGGGCAAAGATTCTGCAATATTTGAACATTCGTTTTGAGAACGGGTATTTATCGCACCTGTAGTGGGTAATGCCGCGTCTGCCAGTGAAATTCTCAGGTCTGTAGCTGCAGTATCACTATCAAAAACAATTGAAGGAACCGGCTTTGAATAAATCCGAAGAATGTGCGTTTTCAAGTTTTTCAGCTTGAGCTTGAGAAAGCTTCCTCCATGTGTTCCTAGCACCGCCGTGCGATGAACGAGCTCTACGAGGCTTCTGGTAACCTGGTTGACGGTTTACCGCCGGCTCCCAGTGGGTTATGCCGCGTCTGCCAGTGAACTTCTCAGGTCCGTAGCTGCAGTATTACTATCAAAACACTTGAAGGAACCAACCTTCGATGACAACTTCAAAATATTTTTCTAGCTTTTCACCTTACGCTTGATGAAACTCCTTCCATGTGTTCCATGCAGCGCCGCGCGAGAAAAGAGCTCTACGAGGCTCCCGGCGGTAACCTGGTTGACGGTTTACCGCCGGCTCCCAGTTGCTCTCCGGGCTTTGGACGCCACCAAGTAACTCGTAGAGCTTCCCTTGCTAGTTGCTGTAAGCTTAAGAGTAATTCCGGCGCGCTGGGGAGCTAGTGGCAAGAAACATCTCGACGGACTTTTTGCTGACTTTTGCTCGGTTCAAAATTATGTTCGCGAAATTCAACAATTCGCTAGAGCTCTAGTCGTTTTTCCCGTTGATATTGATCTCATTCCGCTTTTTTTTTTGTATTTTTTTTTTTTTTTTTTTTGTTTTCGTTTTTTTTTTGTTTTTTTTTTTTTTTTTTTTTTTTTTTTTTTTTCTTTTTTCGCCGTCTTAATCTCAGCTCGATCGGGTACATACTAATGCCAAAAAGCACTCTGGCGGGATTGGCTGTTTCGAGTCATCTTGACAGGTGCTGTCGGTTTTCTGTACTTAACTCGAGCTGTAGGAGAGCTACAGAGCTGGTGCGCACACGTAATCGATTCAGAATCATCAGGATCGTTCGTCTAAAGCATCCAGAGGTCTGAACTCGGTCTGCTACTCGAGCTAGGTCCGCAAACCTATTCGTGTTCTGTGTTTTTCCCCACATCCAAAGTGGGGTTCTTGTTTTCTCTGGAAACCCCGCGCAGGAACAGGACAGGAACACACGCACACCCACTCACACTCACTCACACTCTCTCATCATCAACCTCATCAGCATCATCGATGATGCTCTCTCACATGCTTAGTCACTCACATACTCATCATCATCATCACTCGCACTCTCTCACACGCTCACGAACATCATCATCATCATCATCATCGGCATCGGCATCATCCTCATTCTAACATCATGCCAGTCAAATTCTCAGGTCTGTAGCTGCAGTATCACTATCAAAACAATTGAAGGAACGGGCTTTGAATAAATCCGAAGAGTGTGCGTTTTCAAGTTTTTCAGCTTGAGCTTGAGAAAGCTTCCTCCATGTGTTCCTAGCACCGCCGTGCGATGAACGAGCTCTACGAGGCTTCTGGTAACCTGGTCGACGGCTTACCGCCGGCTCCCAGTGGGTTATGCCGCGTCTGCCAGTGAAATTCCCAGGTCCGTAGCTGCAGTATTACTATCAAAACACTTGAAGGAACCAACCTTCGATGACAACTTCAAAATATTTTTTCTAGCTTTTCAGCTTACGCATGATGAAACTCCTTCCATGTGTTCCAAGCAGCGCCGCGCGAGAAAAGAGCTCTACGAGGCTCCCGGCGGTAACCTGGTTGACGGTTTACCGCCGGCTCCCAGTTGCTCTCCGGGCTTTGGACGCCACCAAGTAACTCGTAGGGCTTCCCTTGCTAGTGGCTGTAAGCTTAAGAGTAATTCCGGCGCGCTGGGGAGCTAGTGGCAAGAAACATCTCGACGGACTTTTTGCTGACTTTTGCTCGGTTCAAAATTATGTTCGCGAAATTCAACAATTCGCTAGAGCTCTAGTAGTTTTTCCCGTGAGATTTGATCTCATTTCCGCTCGCCGTCTTAATCTCAGCTCGATCGGGTACATACTAATGCCAAAAAGCACTCTGGCGGGATTGGCTGTTTCGAGTCATCTTGACAGGTGCTGTCGGTTTTCTGTACTTAACTCGAGCTGTAGGAGAGCTACAGAGCTGGTGCGCACACGTAATCGATTCAGAATCATCAGGATCGTTCGTCTAAAGCATCCAGAGGTCTGAACTCGGTCTGCTACTCGAGCTAGGTCCGCAAACCTATTCGTGTTCTGTGTGACTCCCCACATCCAAAGTGGGGTTCTTGTTTTCTCTGGAAACCCCGCGCAGGAACAGGACAGGAACACACACACACCCACTCACACTCACTCACACTCTCTCATCATCAACCTCATCAGCATCATCGATGATGCTCTCTCACATGCTTAGTCACTCACATACTCATCATCATCATCACTCGCGCTCTCTCACACGCTCACGAACATCATCATCATCATCATCATCATCGGCATCGGCATCATCCTCATTCTAACATCATCATCGTCACCACCACTCACAATCAATCATCATCCTCT